AGTCTCCTTCTCTAGAGACTGGTCTCTCCTGACAATATGTCCAACGTATGTGAGACAAAGTCTCACAGTATTTGCCTCTAAAAAGTATTCTGGCTGTACTTCTTCCAAGACAGATCTGTTTGTTCTTTTGGCAGGCCGTAGTATTTTCAGTATTCTTTGTCAGCACCATAGAATGCATCCATTTTTCTTTGGTCTTACTTATTCATTACCCAACTTTCACATGCATATGATGAGATTGAAAATACTAGGGCTTGGTCAGGTTCACCTTAGTCCTCAAGGTAACATCCTTGCTTTTCAGCACTTTGTTTTGTGCAGGAGATTTACCTAATGTAATGTATTGTTTGATCTCGTGACTGCTGTGTCCATGAGCATCAATGTGTTGAATTGTAGTCCAGGCTAATGGGTGCAATCCTTGACCTTCACCAGGAAATGCTTCAAGTCAAGCAAGGTTGTACCATCTGTATATTAAAGTTTGTTAATAAGCCTTCATCCAATCCAGATGCTGAATTCTTTTTCATCTAATCCTGCTCTGATTATTTTTTGAGCACACAGATTGAAATACTATAGTTAGAAGATTCAACCCTGATGCACACCTTTCCTCGTTTTAAACTATGCATTATTCCCTTGTTTTGTTTGCACAACTGCCTCTTGATCCATATACAGGCTCCACGCGAGCACAATGAATTGTTCTGGAATTCCCATTCTATTTCATATATGCATATTGTTTTTATGATCCACAATTTTATGATCAATTGCCTTCATATAGTCAATGAATCACAAGTATACCTCTTTTTAGTGTCCTCTGCTTTCAATCAAGGTCCATTGGTCATCAGAAATGATAGCCTTTTCTGGGTCCACCCTGAACCTCTGGTGGCTTGTGGTCAATGTACTGCAGCAACACTTGTTGGATGAGCTTCAGCAACATTTTACTCACATGTAATTTCAGTGGTACTGTTCTAAAATTTACACTTTCTGTTGGGTCGCCTTCCTTTGGAGTGGGTACAAATATGTTTCTCTTCTAGTTAGCTGTCTTCCAAATTTCCTGGTATAGACAAATCCACTGCCATCAAGGTGACTACAAATTACAATGATCCTACATAAAGTTTCCAATGCTATAAATCTTTACTGAGAAAGATAGCCTCATCTCCCCCAGAGCAACTGGTGGATTTGAACCTAGGTCTTAAACTCAGCAGTCCAAAGCCAAACCCATTACCTAACCTGGGATTCCTAATGATCAGACAAGAGGTCACATATGTACTGTTTAGGTTAATTCACTTATAACACCTAATTGGTAGTCCAACATTAAAACAAGTAAGGCAAGATGATGAACCCTCATGTATTAATCATCAAGCATTGACCCTTACAAATATTTTATCAATATCCATCTACCAATATTGCGTTGAACAAAGCTGCTGCATAAGATCTCTTTAAGGTGTTGAAGAGCAAGGATGTCACTTTGTGAACTAAAGTTCACCTGACCCAGTAGTCCCTGGTACTGTCCTTCAGTAACCTCATATGCACATGGAAGTTGGACAGTGAATATGGAAGAACATTTGACTTCTGGTGTTGATGCATTTGACTTCTGGTATTGGTAAAAAATATTGAAAGTGCCATGACTGCTAGAAGAAAAAACAAATTTGTTTTGGAAGTAGAACATGTAGAATGCTCCTTAGAAGTAAGGTTGATGAAACTTTATGTCCTGTATTCTGGACATGTTATCAGGAGAGACCAGCTTTCCCAGGAGTCTGCTTTACAAGGAGCAGTCCAGACCCCCCAAGGAGACTTTCTTCCAATTGCCTCAAAGCTGTGAACTGATCAAGGGGGCTACACTGCACCACTACTATTTCGCTGTTCAAAGTTGATTATGTTAGGTCCCATCATGGAGTTTATTATGTTGTGTTAGAATACATCATGGTGGATTACTGCTCAAGTATTGAGAACTGTGGCCCAGCCAACTTTACATAAACACTATCACAGATATTCATAACATAAAACACTCTATGTTTAAACTCTTTTTTTCTAATTCATAAACAGTTTAGCCACATTTCCTTAAGACCTTCCTATATAAGCAGTTTCTCTGACCTACAAAAATCATTGTATCCACTGACATGGGGGCCTCTGGCACTTTTATATCACAGTCATTTTGCTCATATTTCTTTTCCTAACTTAAGTGCTTTTCCTTTTTTAAATCGTACTCATTTCAGCTTAAATCTCTTTTGTGTTGGGCCTTCTAGCATATTCCTCCCTGCAGGATTATCAGAAGCCCACCCTATTCCTTTGTTTTTATCACCTCGTGCATGCCAGCCATCCTTTTAAATGTTGGTACCGCTCTTATCACTGTTCACCAGAATCTACTTTGCTAGGCTAGGCATGCTAGATAATTAATGGCCCCTGGAAGAAGCCCTCATATAATAAGTGACTTGAATTGGTATGCAAATCCGTGAATCTTTTGGTATGTAGACCCCACAGTTCCATTGGGATTGTTGTTGTCATTAGTTGTTATAGAGCAGCAGTTCTCAACCTGTGGGTTGCAACCCCTTTGGGGGTTGAACGACCCTTTCACAGGGGTTGCCCAATTCATAACAGTAGCAAAATTAAATTTATGAAGTAGCAATGAAAATAATTTTATGGTTGGGAGGTGATCATAACATGATGAACTGTATTACAGGGTCATGGCATTAGGAAGGTTGAGAACCACTGTTATAGAGTCAGCTAGCACCCAACTGATGGGGACTCCATGCACAATGGATCAAAATGGTGCTTATTTCTGCACCTCCCCCATGGTCAGTTGCAGATCAGACTGTGTTGATTCATAATGTTTTCGTTGGCCTATATTTGGACATAGAAGACCAGGTGCCTCTTCCAAGTCTCTTTTTCTGGAAGCTCGGCTGAAACCTGTTCAGCACCACCGCAGTAAGCAAGGCTCCACTAACAAATGACATGCCTGGACTGCCAATCAAAGAGGATTTTAACACTGATCCATCAGTGAGATTTCTTTATTCTCACTACAAACGTGTCGGATAAACAGCCTTTGCTAGCCATATTTCTTTTCTTTTCTTACTCTTTCATTATTTCCTCCTATTTTACCAATTCTGTTCAGGATCTTGTTTCACTACCTGCTTCTTGCAAACCTACTCTAATACAAGGATATTCACTCTGTTCCATTTATGATCTCTAGTCTATCCTAGTTTACCTTCTCTGCCTTGCTTAGATGAATAGTTGTGTTGTTGTTAATTGCCATTGTGCTGATTCAGTGGTACACAGCCACCCAGTGTGTACAAAATAGGCCTGCTACCTGAAATTTTCAAGGCT